CCCCAGTGATGAGTGCTTGTTTCTTGCATTCTCTTCTGTGTTCTGGCGTGAGGCTTGGAAGTACGGAGAGCGCGCGTTGAGATACTGTAATCATGATGTGGGCCATGCGATTGCTTCGGCGGCGATTGCGGCGGCGGCGCTGGGGTGGGATGTGAGATTGCTTGATGGGTTTGGGCATGATGAGCTGAATTCTCTTCTTGGGTTTGAGGAGTTGTATCCTCCGATGCCTAATCCATTGCCGGAGAGGCCCATTAGAGGGGAAATTCCTTGGGTTGAGGCTCAGCATCCTGATTGTCTTCTTGTTCTGTTTCCTTTCGGGACAGAGATTAGTGTTGATTACTTAAAGATGAGAGATTTTGCTACAAAGTTTGGTTCTTTGAGTTGGGCTGGGACGCCGAATGCTCTAAGCAAGGATCATGTTTGCTGGGATGTTATCTATAAGACCGCAGAGGCGATTAAGAAGCCCTTCACGGGTGATGAAGATGAGTTCTTTGTGAATGAATTTCGACCAAGTGGATTGATTTCAGAGGATTCGTATGCAAATTTTACTGTGAGAGAGATTGTGAGGAAGAGGAGAAGCGCTGTGGATATGGATGGTGTTCATGTAATGGAGAGAGATACATTTTATCAGATTCTATTGCATTGTTTGCCTTCAGGAGATCTGGGTGGCCGAGGGAAGCAAGGGAAGCAGCGTGCATTGCCATTTAGGGTTTTGACTTGGGATGCAGAGGTTCATGCTGCCTTGTTTGTTCATAAGGTGAAGGTTTGCCTGAGGGGTTGTATTTTTTGGTGAGAAACGAGGAGCATTTGGATAGGCTGAAGAAGGCAATGAGGCCGGAGTTTGAGTGAGTCAAGCCTGAGGGTTGCCCTGCTGGATTGACATTGTATAGGCTTGTGAGGGGTAATTGTGAGAGGCTTGCCAAGCAGCTCTCTTGCCATCAGGTTTGTATTCTCTTCAAATACATCTTCCTATTTATTGTGCAAAAAAAAAAAAGAGTGCAGCAGAAATGTAAGTGTTACAATAGATAGGTACAATTATAAGGTATATTTTTAAATATTTTTATATTATATTATACGAGATATGATAAAAAAGTGTGTGCATTCGTAGGAAGCTAGAGGTTGCTCTTATGGGGGATAAAATGAGACAGAATTGCTTGAGTTGGTTGGTTACGTGTAACGGACAGACCACCAAATGTATCAATTAGGAGAAATTATATTGATTATAATTAATAGAGAAATGAGGATGATGGCAGGACTAAGAGAACTTGGTTAGACGCTATCAGCAAACTAGCCGGCTAAGTCCATAAAAATCGTGATTTTAAAGAAAGAAAATTTAATAGGAATTGAGTCAAAACAGACGAAAGTAAACAAAATCACGGGTTGTGCAGCCCATAAAAGGAGTTTCCTTAGAAACCACCTTAAAAACAGGATAATTATATGATAATCACTTTTTAATTTCAAATTATACATGAAGCACCTTTAATATAGGTTTTTTCAACCACCTTCCAGTGCTAAGAAACAAAAAATGATCTCTTAAAAAACTCAAGTCCAAAATACGTGAATTGTATCTAACGAGACCTAATACCAAAAAAATGAGTCACATGCCTTGAATTTGAGTTTTAAGGCTAATTTTAGGTTTTTGGTGAAAGTTTGCTTGGGAGGTGGTTGATTGCAGCAGAACCCACTTCAAAGATGGTTTGTGTATAAATTGAAAATGGAAGGTGATTTCTATATAACTACTATATTTTAAAGGTGGATTATAGGAAACCCCCCAACAAAAATTGCAAAATTTTAAGTATGCCAAATAATTTCTATTAGGCTGAAACGAACAAAAATGGACATAGATTGTGGGTTATAGCCAATTAAATTGCCAAATTTGAAGTACATTAAATAATTTCGATTAAGTTGAAACAAATGAAAATGGACAAATATTGCTGGTTATAGTCCATAAAAATCACTAATTTTTAAGAAATAAAACTTAATTATCATTGGGTCGAAGCAGACGAAAATGGACAAAAATTACGCGTTATTGTCCATGAAATTTGTGAATTTTGAAGTATGCCTAAAATTTTCAATTAGGTCGAAGCAAACAAAAATGGAGATAAATTATGGGTTATAGCTCATAAAAATTATGAGTTTTGATGAAAGAAAACATAATTAACATTGTATTGAAACCAGATGAAAATTGACAAAATAGTGGGTTATCGTTCATGAAAATCGTGATTTTTTAATGAAAGAAAATTGAATTACCATCAAGTGAAAACAGAAATTGACAAAAATTGTGGGTTAGCCCATGGAAATTGTAAATTTTGAAGTACGCAAAATAAAATTTAATAGGTCGAAACAAACAAAAATGGACAGAAATATTGAGTTAAGGTAAATGGCAAATTTTGACGTATGCTGATAATTTTTATTAGGTCAAAACAAATGAAAATGGGCAGAAATTATGGATTTTGACCCATAAAAATAGCGACTTTTCAAGAAAAACTTATTACCATTAGGTTAAACTGTATAAAAATGAACAAAAATCGTAGGTTATGAACCATAAAAACTTCAAATTTTGAAATACGTCTAATTAGTTGCTATTAGGTTGAAGCAGAGGGAAATGAACAATAATCATATGGTATAGCCTTTGAAAATTGCCAATTTTAAAGTAAACCAAAAAATTACTCTTAAGTCCAAAGAGACAAAAGTAGCTAGAAATCGTGGATATAACCCTTGAAAGTTACGGATTTTGAAGTACACCATAACAATCTTCATCTGGTTAAAATAAATGAAAACGGATAGAAATTGTGGGCTATAGACCATGAAACTTGCGAATTTTGAAGTATGGGAAATAATTTGAAGTTGGTCAAAACAAACAAAAATTGGCAGAAATCAAGGGTTATAGCCCATAAAAATTGCAAGTTTTGAAGAAACTTAATTATCATTGTTGTAACTGACGATAATGGACAAATCTTGGGTTATGACACTTGAAAACAATGAATTTTTGATTATGTATAATTAGTTGCTATAGGTCAAGACAAAAGATAATGGGAAAAAAGTATGGGATATAGCCCATGAAATGCGCAAATGTTGAAGCACGTCAGAAAATTTCTGTTAGATCGAAACAAACGAAAATTGATAGTAACCGTGAGGCTATAGCCCATGAATATTGTGAGTTTTGATAAAAGAAAACATAATTGTCATTGTGTTAAAACAAATAATAATAGACAAATTGTGGGTTATGGTTCATGAAAACTGCGAACTCTGAACTACGCATAATGACTTGTTGTTGAATTCGAATCGACAAAAATGGACAAATATCGTGGGTTAGACCATGAAACTTTTGAATTCCGAAGTACGCAATAAATTTCCATTAGGTTAAAATAAATGAGAATGAGGAAAAATCATAGGGCTCATAAAAATTATAAATTTTGATGATATAAATTATAATTGGTATCGCTTTGAAGCGGATGGAAATTGACAAAAATAGTGGGCTATATAGTCCATGAAAATCGTAAATTTTAAAGTATGGCAAATAATTCCATTAAGTCGTAATGAAAGAAAATAGGCAAAAACCGTTATTTATAGCCTATTGAACTTGTGAAAATCATATGAAAACCGCGCATTTTCAACTATGCATAAGTAGTTGTTACTATGTCAAAACAGATGAGAATACACAGGTCGTGGGTTATAGCCCATGAAAATAGCAAAATTTGAAGTACGCCAAATAACCAAAATGAATGAAAATGGATATAAATAATTGGTTATAGCCTATAAAACTTGTAAATTATGAATTATGCCAAATAATTTTCATTAGGTCGTAACACATGAAAATGGATAAAAATAGTGCCTTGTAGCCTTGAAAATCATTGAGTTTTGAAGAAAGAAAACTTAATTATGATTGGGTCGAAACCTAGGTTATCCGGACACTTTCTTTTGGACCCATATCCGTGTTGGACACGGATTCACTGCAGACACGCCATGTATACGTGCGGTTCAAAACACCCTATTTCCCCTTTACTTATAACCCTAAACTAGCTTCTTTGGTATATCGAGCTCAAAATCAATAAGTTTTGGAACCCGAAACTAAAACCCACTACTTAAATATTTGAAAATTAATCATCATAGCTCATATGATCAAAACTAAACTTTTATTGTTAAACTTCAATTCTTAGTTTGATTTAAGTTGATTCTCAATTGTTATAAACAGTAAAAGTAACATACAAATGTTATAGATACTTTAATTCAATATTGATCTAGTGAAAATATTATTTATAGATACATAAATGTATGTGTATATGTATATTGTCTCCATTTACTATCTCATGTCCCGTGTTCGCTCCTGCACTCGTATTCGTTCAACCTAGGTCGAAAGTGACAAAAATGGGAAGCTAATGAGTTTATATAATAACCCCATGAAAACCATAAATTTTGAGCTACACATAGTAGCTTCTGGGTGGAAACAAACGAAAACGG